CCCCAAAACCCCAAAACCCCAAAACCCCAAAACCCCTATTATGAACTTGAAGATTGAATATTCTCTGAGACTGAATAAAAGACTACTCAAGTTCAACTCAGTTGCACTTTAAGTAATCATCGGGGAACTTATGCTTGTAATTCAAGCATATTTCTCATCTCTGAATTTGCTCTACAGAAATATGAAGTGTCCAAAAAGTGCTTACCTTTACAAGATGCGATGTAACTCTTGATACTCCTATAATGACTTGTATCATTGAGTTGATCCTTCGGATTAAGCACCAATTTGCCATATTTGAACTTAGACTTCAAAGTGATAATTTGTTCTGAGCAATACCTGCACTTATTGGGTGCATTGAAACTCTTATAACTAATCCACTTACAATGTGGGCACCAGAGGACAGTCCTACTCTGCTTCTCAAATTCCTCTATAAGTCTGCAGGAGTCATAGTACACCATCTGATCTTCATCGCACACCTTGAGGATATCAGGCCTAGTAATTTCGGTCCTAAAGAAAGTTATAAAATTCTGTGAAAACTTTCTGAACAAAAGATATTTTGTGAACAAAATATCCTATTTTTGAGAGGAAAACCTGGGATTTACTAAACATTTGTTTGGAATTTTAGCTGAAATGTTGTCATTATCTGGCTTAAAATTTGGATCTAGCCTTTCAGAAAATTTATTTTGGCTTAGACTTAACAGTATACTGTAGATTTGAGAAGTATGCTACAAATTTTCACTGAAATTTTAGTGAAGAAATCAAGAGAATGAACTAGAGAGCGATGCAGATTTGGAGTAAGGGATAGATGATTTGAGTGTGATTGGGAGGTATAGGTGGAGCAAAGTGAAAAGTTGGTAATAAAAATCAGTGACTAATTTAGAGATTGTTCATAATTAAAATGCAAAATGATTGTAAAGAAGAAAATCAAAGATCTGAGGGTGCTGATGCTTACCTATGACTGAGAATTGGGCATCTTAAAGCCTCAGTTGGATCAAATAGGGAGTTCTTAATGAGCATTCTGAAGCAGTCATTGTGTACGTTATCATGACACTCTGAGAATTGCATTGTCTCTCCATTGCTCTTGTTGCACAATACTCATATTTTACAATTTTCTGAAAATGTATCCTGAATATTTGAAGCTTCTTCATCTAATGCTAAGAGGAGGGAAGGAGCGCTACTTTTACTTGTTTCTGAAATTAGCTCTTTTTGATCAATCTTATCTGATTGGAGATTACTCTTTAACTGAGCATTTGCTTCTGAGTTATTTTGCTGTTCTTTCTGCTCCAGACTTTTTGATCAACTTAATTTTGATATCTGAGATATTTTCTGACAATCCTCCGAACTTTCATCACAAATTTCTTCCTTCTCTGTTTGAGAATCTTCAGACTTCTCTCCATGAGTCTCGGGATTGTCACAAACTATAAGAGGACATTCAAGAGGTCGATCAGTCTCTTCTCCAATTTTCCTAGCTCTCTTTAAGTCTCTTTTCTTCTTAAAATCTCTACCTTGTAGAATCTTCACATGTGAGAAGTAGAACATGATTCTCTTCTTTGTTCTGATATCCATCTCATCTGCAGTATCTTGCCAATCTTTGAAGTACTGAACCAAAGTCTCATTATCGAATTCTTCTGTGAACAGGAGACTTCCAAGCAAAATTCCATCCAAAAATCTGGTTTCGTCTAGATGCCAAATTTTAGGGTCAAAATGTGGGCGAGAAGGACTTACTCTGATTATAAAATTTGCTAAAACTCTTGTAGACCTTCATAAATTCCTCTTGGCAGAGCTTGTCAGATTCCATTGCTTGATTTCTAAATTATTAATTTGCTCAACACTGAATACTACTTTAGGGGTTTTGGGGTTTTGGGGTTTTGGGG